GGGGGGACGGGGGGAGGCAGTTCCCTCGCTTTCTGGCTCTCGGCAAACAGAGGAGGGCACTTTCCCCGGGCGGGAGAGCAGCCGGGACATCGAGTCGCAGAATAAACCAAAACAAAATAAAATGACGGGGACGTCAAGTAACCCCCTCTCCCCCCGCGCAACCCCGGGGAGAGGGGGCTGGCTCCTGCCGCAGAGGAGGCGTGACATTTGTTTCACCCCAAAACCTGCGGCAAAACTTTCCCCCTCGCCTTTGTGCGCGGGGGCGGCTGCCCGCGGCCCGGGGAGCGGGGCTGGAGGGTGGGCAGCGACCCTCCGCTCCTCTCCGCGCCCCTCCGCTCCTCTCCGCGCCCCTCCGCCCCGCCCGGCGCTGCGCTCGCACCGGCTTTGACTCCAATTGCAAATGCTCTGAGGGCGATGTGAAAACTTCTACAGACGTTATTGCAGCCTGGTTCAAGAAACCCGCCAAAACCCCTCTCGGCTTCTGCCCTTTCTCCGGCTTCTCTCTTCTGTCTTTGCTTTTTTCTTTTTCTTTCCCTTTCTATTTTTCTTTTTCTTTTTCTTTTATTCTTTTTCTTTTTTTCTTTTTCTTTTTCTTTTTCTTTTCCCTTTTCTTTTCCTTTTTCTTTTTCCTTTTCCTTTTCTTTTCCTTTTCCCCTTTCTCTTTCTCTTTCTCCTTTCCTTTCCTTTTCCCCTTTCCTTTCCTTTCCTTTCCTTTCCTTTCCTTTCCTTTCCTTTCCTTTCCTTTCCTTTCCTTTCCTTTCCTTTCCTTTCCTTTCCTTTCCTTTCCTTTCCTTTCCTTTCCTTTCCTTTCCTTTCCTTTCCTTTCCTTTCCTTTCCTTTCCTTTCCTTTCCTTTCCTTTCCTTTCCTTTCCTTTCCTTTCCTTTCCTTTCCTTTCCTTTCCTTTCCTTTCCTTTCCTTCTGCCTCAAACAACTTTCTTCCCCCGTACCAGAATTTAAGCTGAAGATTTAGTCCCTCCTCACCAAACCTTGATCTCCAAACTCCGATGGAGAGGTTCGGGAGGGCTATCTTTGTTTGGAAGTAGTTCAGGGAGCGCCCCGGCTGCGGGTGGGTGGGGGTGAGGGCTGGAGGGGGAAGGCGGCAGCATGCGGTGCGGTGCGGAGCGCTGCTGGCGGGGGGGGGG